GGGGGAAAAAAAATCCCAGTTATAAAGTGAGTAAATGAGGAAGACTGAATTAAACCCAGTCATTTTATATGACTCCTGGGTCACTCCTGGAAGTACTTTGGGAGGAACCAGATGTGGTTCTGAGGATTTGAACTAGGGCTGACCATAACAAGGCATGCCCCTTAACCCTGTGACATATCTTGCTGAGAAGTTTATCAATAGGTAAATGGTTTTTAGATTTTACCACACGATTCTATTCCAAGGTTCTTGGGAAGTTTGTTAAAAAACAGTTTTTCTTTTGAGGAGCCAGAGGCCTTGTTTTTATACATTTGGGTTCCATCCTGATTTATTTTGTTTTAGAACTTTTATACCTATTCAGAATATAAGTCATATATAATGGTATGTGTGTGTATACGTAGCACTGTAGCACTGTCCTCCCGTTGTTCATCGATTTGCTCGAACGGGCACCAGTAACGTCTCCATTGTGAGACTTGTTACTGTTTTTCACATATCGAATACGTCACAGGTAGCTCACTAGGCTTTGCCTATATATAGGTTTATATATATATAAAATATATTTTTATATATATAAAATATATTTATATAATATATATAAAAGAGGTTTATCTACAGAAGTGCTTATATTAAATTACCTTTCTTTCTGCTGTTGTTTTGTGTAGCCTAATATTAAACTGAGGTTGTGGTTATTGAATATATTATAATTGGGTGGAGAAGTGGTTAGAGTTAAAATTCTCCACTTAAAGTGGATAATTTACAAATTACTGCAAAAGGTCCACTCCCCGACTCCCAGTTCTTGATTGCCTTTTAAAGTCTGCCCTTAGCCTGATGCTCAGCGTGATGTAATAACAGGTTAAACTTCTGAACACTCTAGCTGTCACATGCATTTCTGACACTGATGCATAGGACTGACTGTCGAGACAAGGGTAATGCTCGTTTAAAAATAAAGCAAGCTAATCTGTTTAATGAGACCATTTAAAATGGCTTTCCCAGAGCAGGAAGAGAATGTAATCTCATTTTGCAGGAGTTTAATTTGGTTATGTGTGTTTACTTACTCTCACTGCAATCATTTCAAAGGGAAAGGGGGAGGATTCAGAGTGGTGTGGTCAGGGGTGGAATGAAGGAGTTAGATTTGAGGACATAGGATAGCAGGTAGATATTGAATGAACCCTGTAAATCAAGGCAGCTGCTGCTGGTGGTAGTGGGTAGATGGTGGGTATAGGGTTGTATAATGTAGCGGAGAGGATTGTTTAACCATATATTTCCTTTGTACTGCAACAAAGTAATATAAAATTGCTAGTATCTAACCATTTATGCCTGCAGAACTGGCATGGTGCAACAAGAACTTAAACTGGTGGAAATGCAAATGCTGAAGCTTTTAGAGGAGGGGGATGTTGACTGGTTTTGCTGTGGGGGTTCTTCAGTTCCCACTTAGTCAGTCATCTCAGCCATTACCCTGCAAAGAGTCCTTTTCACTGTGGCTTTAGTCCTTTTCAGTGAGGCTTTCTAGCTTTACCCTGCACCAACTCCTGGCACTGAGCTGGCACCACCTCCAGCTGCCTTGCAACCTTTACAGCACCATTCTCCTATTGAGCCTGCTAGAGATAAGCCTGTGAATCTGAGGAAGACAAACTTAAGTGTTCCAGTCCACACAGGCAGGAAACTTAGACTTCTGTTTTTAGATATGCAGACAAATTTGAGGAACCAGAAGGTTTAGTGGGTGGGCTCCTCTGGGGATGGACCAGGTTGTGTATTATCTTTCTGCCTTGGAACTTGTACTTCTGAGGGGTGACTGGGAGGCATGGAACATCTTGAAAAAGTAACTCTGGGCATGCTTAGAGATAAAAAAAAAAGTGTTCAGAGGAGGTCTCTGTTACAGATTACTTTTGCTTCTTGGTTGAAGGCTCTAAGCTTCTTCTCATGACTGGGAAGTCTTCCCCACCTCGTTGGTACTATTGAGAGGGCATCTTGCAACCTGTTTACCAGCAGACAAGTATACGGTATAGACATTGAGACTGTATTGCTTAAACTGTGAAATGGTAAAGTTGCTTAACCGGAGAAATCTGAATGGATCAGAGAATGACTTACTAGCATTGTTGTTTCTTTTGATCTGTACTTTTCAATTTAAAATCAAATTTCAGACAACATCATGACTTCTGCCAGAAACTTTTGAGAGCTTGGTCTATGCTGTAGGACAGCTGTATCATTGGAATTTCTTTTCTATTTGGAGATGGAGTGGGGTTCTCTATCTCTGGAATTTACCTGTTAATACCTCCATTCACAAGAAGGAAATTCATTTTTTTCTCTTGTTTTTTCCCATTTTTAACGAATTAAAAAATTTATATTTATTGTAACTCCATGATTTATCAAATCGTTCACAGTACAGTTGTTTCAGGCATTAAATGTTCCAACCCCAATCCCACCACCAATATTACCTTCCCACCACCCCAGCCTTGCAGGCACTATCAAAGGTAAATGGAATTATCAAATCTTAGATCAAGGAGTCAATTGTGGTCATTATTGAATCTTATAATGATGTTATAAAGTCATTATTTGAGGCTTTACTGTGCTGGTTAGTGCTAGCTAGCCTTCTGTGTTATTGTTACTGTGTCATTGAGCGGTGGTCTTCTATGCAACTTTCTCATTGGATCTGTTGTGATCCTACCAGGCTGACAGTGCTCTGAAAATTTGAGGTAATGAGGAGCTATGGAGCGGAAACGATTTGGTGACTTGGCAGTGTGATGAGATTCAGTTGGGGATCTGGATCATTTCTAAAATGGAGGGTGTTGGCTAAGGCTGTGGGCTGCTGTGGTTTCAGGCACAAAGGGCAGTCTGTCTGTCCCCATTCTGAGAAGGTCCCAGGGTTCTCAGCCCAGACCAGTTTACCAGGAAAAATCTGCGCTATCATGTTCTCTTGGAGCTGTGACTCTGGGCAGTTTCTCTTTGGGCAAGATGTGAATGGAGTTTTATATGAACTGTTTTGCTTGGGCACAGTGTTGAGTATTTTTGTTAAATACAAACTTTAGTTTGCCTCCTAGTTTGATTAGTTGTTTGAATTTTTTAATTTGGCTGTGATAATGCTGAGTGAAAATTGGGGCCATGTGACAGCTTCTCTGTCTACTACCAAAAGAAACCTGGTACAAACTCAGCTATGCAGGATCCAAGTATCAAAATTTTCAGAAAGTTTTTGGAACACCATCCCGGAATATTCATTCAAGAGTGCTTAGGAGCCACACTAGGTCATGTTTAGAAAGTGTTCTTGGCTTTGTGCTCAGGAGTGATCCTTGGTACAATATTCAGGGAGCCATGGAGTGACAGGGATTGAACTAGGGTTAGCTGCATTGGAAGGCACATGTATTAATCCCTGTACTGTCTCTTGCTATGGATTTATAGATTTGAAAGACAGTGGTGACTTGTGCCCAAGGAACCACTATGCACTTGTGGTCTTGTGTTGATCATTTAGTTAGCTGAGCAGCATAACACACCATGAAATAGTATAGACAGGGCTAATTCCCACCCCACCCCCCCTTTTTTTTAACGTGTCCTAAAATGCAGCGATAACCATAAGGCACAAAGGATCTCTTGGGGGAGATTGGGCTACTGCAGGTGATTTAGAAACTAAAGATGATAAATTGGTTCATACTGCCCTAATATTCTTCTTATGAATCACATTGATAATTTCTTGCAGCTGTCTCTTGAATAGTGTTTAATACTATGCTGATGAATGTCTTAGGGCTGGAGCGATAGCACAGCGATAGGGCGTCTGCCTTGCACGCAGCCAGCATGGCCGACCCGAGTTCGATTCCTCCGCCCCTCTCGGAGAGCCCGGCAAGCTACCGAGAGTATCTCGCCCGCACGGCAGAGCCTGGAAAGCTACTCGTGATGTATTCAACATGCCAAACAGTAACAAGTCTCACAATGGAGACGTTACTGGGCCCGCTCGAGCAAATCGATGAACAACGGGAGGACTGTGATACTGTGACGGTGATGAATGTCTTAGTAGTGCTGGTAGACCCTATGTACAGGAAAAATTTTTTACCTCCAATCTTCAGTTTTCAGGTGTGTTTGTGTTGTTTTGTCTCTACTCTTTATTTTGTCCTGACTCTTTTCCTATTTGCATATTAAATTTAACTTATGTTGTGGAATGAAAGTAGAAAGAATGACTTTTTAAAAATAATCAGACTGAAAGTTTACATGTGAGGATGTTTTTCAATTTGTACTCTTTCTTTTGAGGGTGGAGGTGGAGAATTTATCAGTAAGAAACAAGATTTACATAATTGATTTTAATATTCTGGGGAAAGACTTGATGGAATCAGGTTTTATTCATTCCCCTTTTAACCCCCCTCACCCCTCCAAAAAAAAAAACACCACCACTGGAGTGTAGGTATTGTGAATAATCAAGGTTAATACTTTAAAGCATCTATAGCTAGTTACCCTTTGGAGCAACTGTAAATCTAGCAACAGTTGACTCAGAATGGAAAAATGGAGATCAAATCTATTTCAATTTTTGTTTCTGGGCCTTACCTGTGGTGCTCAGGGGTTACTCCTGACCTTGCACTCAGAAGTCACTCCTGGCAGTGCTTTTGGGGGACCATATGAGATGCTGGTGATGGAACCTGCGTTATTTGCATGCAAAGCAAAATACCCTATCATACACTGTATTCTCCGGCCCCTAGTTTAAGCTCTTTATTCAGTATTTGTTGCTTACAGTCCTGTATTTGTTTCAGCATTTACTCCATCTAGTCTATCCAAGTACTATTCCTAATGCTATAAAGAAAGGGAACTCAAATGTGTTTTGAAACATTTTGAAAAGAGATTTCACTTATTGTAACTACTCTTCCTAATATTGAATATGAATATTCATATAATTTATATTTGCCTTTGTATCTTCATCAATTTTCAAAGTAAATTTTGTATGAAAGTTATTACTAGCATACAAAATTATAAAACAGTTGTACTTATTTTTCTCTTGCCTCCTTTCACTTTTTTTTTTTTAATTACAGAAATGAGCCGTCAAACTGCAACAGCATTACCTACTGGAACGTCTAAGTGTACACCATCCCAGAGGGTGCCTGCTCTGACTGGCACAACTGCATCCAACAATGACTTGGCGAGTCTTTTTGAGTGTCCAGTCTGCTTTGACTATGTGTTACCACCCATTCTTCAGTGTCAGAGTGGCCATCTTGTTTGTAGCAACTGTCGCCCAAAGCTCACATGTTGTCCAACTTGCCGGGGCCCGTTGGGATCCATTCGCAACTTGGCTATGGAGAAAGTGGCCAATTCAGTACTTTTCCCTTGTAAATATGCCTCCTCTGGATGTGAAATAACTCTGCCACACACAGAAAAAGCAGACCATGAAGAGCTCTGTGAGTTTAGGCCTTATTCCTGTCCGTGCCCTGGTGCTTCCTGTAAATGGCAAGGCTCTTTGGATGCTGTAATGCCCCATCTGATGCATCAGCATAAGTCCATTACAACCCTACAGGGAGAGGATATAGTTTTCCTTGCTACAGACATTAATCTTCCTGGTGCTGTTGACTGGGTGATGATGCAGTCCTGTTTTGGCTTTCACTTCATGTTAGTTTTGGAGAAACAGGAAAAATATGATGGTCACCAGCAGTTTTTTGCAATTGTACAGCTGATAGGAACACGCAAGCAAGCTGAAAATTTTGCTTATCGACTTGAGCTCAATGGTCATAGGCGGCGATTGACTTGGGAAGCGACTCCTCGATCTATTCATGAGGGAATTGCAACAGCCATTATGAATAGCGACTGCCTAGTCTTTGATACCAGCATTGCACAGCTTTTTGCAGAAAACGGCAATTTAGGCATCAATGTAACTATTTCCATGTGTTGAAATGGCAATCATTTTCTGGCCAATGTTTAAAACTGTTGCATTCAGTTTCACAGAGGCACCCATCTGCCTGCCAACCTGAAACTTTTGGTAGGTAGAAACTAGACACACAAAGTAAATAAGAGAAAAAGGCTGTTAAATACAGGAAACAGTTGCATGTAGTAACACTAATATATTTAAAAATAAGTCAACAGTAAACCACTGAAAAAAAATATATATATACACCCAAGATGGGCATCTTTTGTATTAAGAGAGGAAGCATTGTAAAATAATTCTGAATTTGTGTTTGTTGTAGATTGAGTGTAATGTTGAAAATATTGGGGTTTTTGTTTTGTTTTTGCGTGAGTGTGTGTGTGCCTGCGTGTGTGCATTTGTGTGTGTGCAGGTGTGGGTGTGTGTATGAGTGTGTGCATGTGCACACACTTCCCTTTAACTGACAAGCCATGTTGAGTGGTCTTGGACCATTGCTTTTCCCCTTTGTGAGTCAATACATAGTGCTGCTGTGTGTATTTTTTTTGTGTGTTTTTGCTAATTTTTATTAATTCTAGTTTTTCATTTAATAAAGTTGACTTTCTTTTCTGTAATTCAGTTTTTTCCTTTTTTTTGTACCTTTTTAAAGTTAGTGTCTTTTTGATAATGCATAATTGTTCATGGCAAACTTTATACACGTTTTCGTACATATTTTCTTCCCATTAATCAGTTCAATAGGAATATTATAAATTCAGCTATTTTATGAAGATACACATTCCATAAAGGAAAGGTAATATGGGAAGAATTACCAGACACTCAAAGCAACAATAAGATTGTCTTTCTGTTTTTTCCCTCCAGTTCAGATACGCTTTCAAACTTACTCTTTGAAAATTTAGGGAATACTATTAAAAAAATAGTCAGGTATTCCAACTCCCAGTATCTTGGGTAAATCACATGTTTCAAATTTGTTCTTGTATTAATTAAAAATAAGGCATCATCTTACACAGTGTTTGTAATTAAAAGCAAATCATTTGTTATAAAAAAGGCAGTTTGCAAAAAATGTTTTTGGTCTTTTATAATTCTCATTAAAAGAATATCTGGCAAATAAAAATACTCTTATGTGTGTGCTTTAGCTCAAAGTGTGATTAAAATACAAATTAATATTTATGTTTAATCTGTATAGTAGAAACAATGTAATTAGTTTTGTAGTGTAGCAAAGTTGTATGCCAAAGTATAGCAAAAGAATGGGCAGTGCTTGTTTGGACTCTTACTGGATAGTTTTGCTTCCTCTTCACATTTTGCTTCATACAGCTTTTAAGATACTTAGTTCAAATGCTGATCAATCACTGTTTTCCTCTAAGAAAAATAAGTTTACTATTTCATAGCCCAGTGGTTATGAGTATGGATATTGTAGCAGACTTCTAAGAACCTATGTGACAGTCAAGCTCTGGAACCCATTTATCAGCTGTGTGATCTTGAGATAAAGTTCCCTAATGTGTAAAATAGGGTTAATTACAAAAACATTTGCTTTTCAAATGTTTGTGATTAGCTACTTGGGATATAGGAGAATGTTCATCCGAATATGCTTTGCTCCTAAGTTCCCAATAGATGTTAGCTGCTATTAGTAGTCCTTTAACTACTACCATTAGTTTAGTAGCTATCCTGAGACACACAGCAAGATTCTGATTTGTGAAAGATACTTTGTGTGTTTTTATGGGTACTCTTAAACCTACAACATCATTTATCCTTATTGTGGACTTCCCCTTTATTTCACTACCAGTTCTGGATACCAGAACTGACTCACCATTTTCAGAATCTCCTGCAGCAGCATAATTGTTTGAATTGGTTAGTGCTTAACCATTTTTGTGATGAAAGGGAAAAAAGGTCATCCACAAAAATGAGTCCAGGTCTGTTGCTATTAGCATGTCAAAAATATTTTTCTCCTTTATGAGTATTTTGCACTGTACATTTCATTTTGTTTTTATTTTTGTTTAGGGGTCACATTTGGTGGTGGTCCTAGCTCTATGTTATGGGATCACTCCTTGTGGTGCTTGATGGGACCATTTGCTGTATCAATGATTGAACCAGGGTTAACCACATGAAAAGGCAACCAACTGCCTTACCTATCTCTTCAGCTCCATTTTGTGCTTTTCAAGTGTTTGTGATTATAAAGTTTGTAATGTGCTCAGTATGTAGGCCTTGGATGCTAGAAAACAGGTTATACAGTGGAGATCTGTGATCTAATCCATTCAAAGATGATAGAAATAATCCAAAAATACTTTCTCTTGCCCTGTACATTTGTTTTGAAATCATAATACTGGATTATATAATTATACAACTTTCTCATATCTCCACACAACACAGTCATTTCAAGTGTTCAATAATCACTAATCTTGAGGGAAAAATGCCATGTTGGATAATTTTATAGTGAGGATTGATTAGCAGGTTTCTTTTGTTTGATATTTATTTTGCCTAAGGAATTAGGAGAGGGGCTGTTTACATACAACAGTTTCATATACTTGGAATTTTTCCTTGGATTATATTCTTGAAATATTTTCCCCTAACTTTAAACACTATAGTTTACAAAGTTGTTCATAATAAAGTTGTTTTAGGCTTTCAGTGTTCAGTTCAACATCAGTGTGACTTTCCACTGTCTTCAGTTTCTCACCCATCCAATTATATTGCTTGTTACATAAAATGGCACATGAAATTATCAAAAAAATGGATCAGTAAAAGAAAATTTGTGAAAATTTTATCTTTCACAGGGGTATTAAAATCATCGAGGATTTATTTAGCTGTTTGTTGCTATTTGAGCTTTTTTGTTACTGTTTTCACTTGCTTCTATGTTACTTTCCCAACTTCTTTGCTGTGCTCTTACTGGGCTGTCAAATTGTGAAATTTGGAGTTGTATCTGGCCAGATGCTCCAGGAACTTTGACTTGGTGTCTCTTGGAATTAGTAGCGATGCTGGGCCTTTTATATGAAAGTTACTGGGGCTTCTGGAAGTGTTGAGGGTATTGTGAGAAGGCTTTCTTCTGCCACTCTGAGAAGGCTTTGGAGTTTTCAGCCCAAAAACCAGTGTACCTGGGAATTTCATCACCTTGGCATCTCTTCTGAGGTTAGTCCTCTTGAAAAAAATTTTTTTAATGTTTGATATTGTACTATTTTCTGGAGTTTTGTCAGACGCTTCAGTAGCTGTGTAAAGATTTTCCGTTTCATTGTAACCTCATGTTTGTTAGTTTATATAAACCAAGGTAGTAAAGTTTATGATGGGTAAAGGTTGACATTTAAATGTATTCTTTGTCATCTTCATATTTGTGCTACAGGAAGGTTGCTCCATGTAGCCATATTTCTTGTTGAAATGAGGTCTTCCAAATGTTCATTTGAAACGAGAATATTTTAACAAAAAATAATTTTGTTAAAATTAATATTCTAGGGGCTGGAGCGATGGCACAGCGGGTAGGGCGTTTGCCTTACATGGAACTGACCCGGGTTCGATTCCCAGCATCCCATATGGTCTCCTGAGCACCGCCAGGAGTAATTCCTGAGTGCAGAGTCAGGAGTGTCCCCTGTGCATTGCTGGGTGTGACCCAAAAAGCTAACAAAACAAAATTAAAAAAAAAATTAATACTCTATATCAATGTACCTGTCCTTTTGGTGTCTTGTTTTCTTTCAGTGTACTTTTCATGTTTTTAAGCTGAATTTTTCCTGTTCAGTCATGTTTAGTGTTACTGTTGTTTGACTTTTATTCTGTGACTTTTTAAGGCTCATGTTTCTGCAGCTTTGAAACTTAACACTAGTGCTGATTCATTACAACATTAACTAGCCCTCTCCTCCCAATTAATTTACTTTCAGGAATATTCTGCAACAGTTCAACTAATGATAGAATTGTATTTCATTCCAATTCCTGGGTGGAATAATTTAGTTAAGTTTAACTTAAAAAAATTAAGGTATGTTTACTATCGATTATGCATTTATGTAATCTTAACTAGTCATTTAAATGCTGGTGTCAGAATCACTCGCTGTATTTGTATATAGATAATCCAAACAAAGCCCTGAAGTTCTCTGCCTCTTATGTTTCACAGTGAGGGACCACCAGAAGGGTACAGCCGAGTAAAAATTTAAAAGTGCCTCAAATGGACAGAATTAAAAAAGCCTTTGTAAAAATAGCATATATGGGGTACTAATCTCTAGGCCTCACCTCCAGACTTAAGTGTAATTTGAGTTAACAGACAAAATCCAGTCTGGATTTTGTATAGCACTTTAAAAAAGTTAAAAGTAATAGCCCTTGTTGATTTGCGTTGTTCTAATGCAAATCAGAACAATGAAATTCTTCATCATCATCAGTCTATCATCAAAATACTGCTGGCAAGGATGCAGAAAATGGGAACCTTCATATATTGCTAGTAAGAATGTTAAATGGTGCAGTTATTATGAAAAAGTTTGGTTTTTACAAAAACTATATAACTTCATAGTTGATTCGACAATTCTGCTTATATGTATACACCAAAGAGCTGAAAAGTAAGGGCTGGAGTGTATGCTCCTGTTTTTGCAGAACTATTGTTGCCAAGAGACGGCGCAGAGTAGTGAAAGGTTGCATGTGTGTACAGTAAAGGCTTTTTGTTTACTTTTGATAATGTGGGAGTGGGAATTAAGCCCAGGGCCTTAGTTCTATAAGGTATGTATTGCACTACCTAGACTACCTAATGGTTTTAATTTTAAGTTTGCTATTGTGGGGGCTGTGTTTTGGGGCTATTCCAATGATAATGATAGGGGCTGAGATCAAATCCTCAGATACAAGGCCTGAAATACTTGAGTACACACCATCTTTTGGGGGTGTGTGTGGTGGCGGGACATTTGGGCCACACCGGGGGCCGCTGAGAGTTTACTCCTTCCTGGCTCTGCACTCAGGAATTCCTCCTGGCCGTGTTTGGGGGACCATATGGAATGCTGGGCATTGAATCAAGATTGGCTCTGCAAGGCAAGTGCCCCCCCCCCCCCCCCCGCTTTTTTTTAGTGCCAGAGGGTCAGAACCTAGATTCTCACACATACAAGACTGAGCTACAACCCTGGTGTGTAGACAGAATCTTTAGTCATTAAGAAATTAACCCTAATATTGCTGTAAAATGGAAAGAGACTTTAAGTGAAATCAGACACAAAATGAGAAACTTAACATAAGGTACTTGGGAAAAGCATATTTGTAGAGGCAAAATAGTCAAGCTTGCCTTACATTTTGGGTAAGCAAATGGAAGAAATGCAAGGTGGATCCAATAGTTAGTACTGTATAGTCTAGGTGTGGTGGCGCTACTGTTCAGGTTCCTTGTAAGCATATTTTATTCTGACAGTTGCATAATGAAATTGCTTAAGGACATTTTTTGTTTTGCATTTGGGTCACACCCTGCAGTTCTCACTGGCTGTGTGCTCAGGGGTTGCTCTGGCCTGGTGCATGCAAGGCAAAAACCTTCATCTTTTTACTATCTCCTGTGCCCCTAGAGATGCATTTCTCAGAATGTATCCCTCTCCAAAAGCGACATAATATTTTATTGGTAGAATAAAGGCCAATCTACATGATCATCTCAGTAGATGCTGAGTATTTAGCAAAATATAATAACCCT